TGATAAACACAGCAGTAATTGGAAAAATGCTATTGCAATGAAACAGCACTTCATATTGTTCTATAAGGAGCTTTCATAGTGGCTAAAATGTTTTTATGTGTTAATTATACTTCAATAATATTTTATGTGTGCATAAAAATTGGTATACCTTATGCCACAGAGGCAATTGAAAAGGGGTTGCTAGAAACCATGATTATTATATAGTAAATCATATATGTATACATGTATATGTATGTACGTACAAAGGATAATTTGAAACTAATCATTTCACTCTGGTAGGGATCACTTGCATTAATATCAGCTATGTATCCTTTACACTATTTTTAAACTGCAAAAAGTCTATGATACTAGGTAGAAAGAGAATAGGTATGAGCAGAATATGATCAGGTTAAATTTATGTCCTGAAAATAAGAATAATTAACTTCCTAAAATAAGATGGGATGTACTTTTATTTGGGCTGTGGTTTGGAATCTTTTCTTTTCAGCATTAGCATCAACAAAGTAGACTAGCTGTTCAGAGAATACACAGTATCCCTCATCCTCCCTGAGGTAAAAAACAGGAGAAATACACAGCTCTCAGGGTGAAGGATCTAGGACAGACATGAAGAGCCACTCCTGATCTACAAGTTAATCATTGTGCTTCATGTATTGACAAGTCAATGACAGGTTTATATGCAAATGTCACCTTCTATCTTTAGAATTCAGTTTCTCTGGGAAATTATGCATATTGGTCCTACAAAATAATTTTCCACACAAAATCATGTAATTGAAGATCTGTCCAATTTTATTGGGGAAAGAAAGTACCACAACGTGAAACTCTAAAAATAGTGGTTTATAATTGAAAGCCTAAATCCCTCCTGATTATAGGTGTGTGACAGCGGCACCATAATTAAGGACAATCAGCAATTCCAAAATGATCAGACATTGTCATTCACACTCCACATGAATGCCCATGGGTCCCCTGGGCAGAGAACCCACAGAAAATGAAGATGTCCACTCTTGTTCCTCACATCTTGCAGTCATTGCAAGATTCTCCTTTGTTTACTTTCATTTTCTTTCCCTAATGTTTAAGTTCTTGATTGTCACTGCAGGAAAGTATAGATTTTAAATTAGAAAATACACAGCTGATCCCAGACTTAAAACTATGTACCCATGAACCTCATAAAGGAACATTAATATATTTTGGCTTAACTCTTATTTACCTGAAATCTGAAAATATTTTAGGATTTAACTAAACAACTAATGTCATCTTAGTACAAAAGAGGTCACTAAAAGCCAGAAATTTGGTATAAGGTGTTTTCATCTCAATGAAGGTATTTTATAAGGCCAATAATTAATATAAGGACAAAAGACTCAGACTTCAGAATTCTTAATTCTGTTTCAGAATTCAACATTAATCTCTAAATGATCACAAACTGTTTTTCATTTTTTACTTATTATTTAACATTTAGATAAAGACCCAACTTCTCAAATCATTTTCCTGAATGGTAAATCCACAGTTCTTGGTATGACAAAACAGATCTCTGATTTGATTAACCAAGTGATAGTGGAACATTCAACAAAAACATAGCTAATCAAATCCTAAACTGTAGAAAAGCGTAATAAAGAAAAAAAAGTTTCCAACAAAATCAAGTTAAATCACATTAAGAAACAAGATAAATGTTAGAATACTAAAGTTCAGCAAATGGCAAAAGTTTCTTCTTCCACATGAAATTGGTTATTTCACAGAGTCTTGTGTCTAAAAGTAAGCATAACAGATAGCCAGAGAACAAAGTGTACAATGCACATCTTCAGTCTGGCTTCAACCCACTTCATCCATATCCCCATTCCTGGCAAGCTGACACCATGATAATCAATCTGTCAGCTTCCACTCTGTCCTGAATGTACCTTGAATAGGAAACTCCAAAGCCCCTAGAGTTAAGGAGAGTTGAGAAGAGATGAATATTCATTTTAGGAATAGAAGCAGGACTTTCTTTTGCAACCCAAGAAACTTTAACCTTAGCTAGTAGACTGAAGAATACCCTAGGATTTAAGGGAAAATGTTGATGAAAATTGAATATTTTTTGTCTTTAAAATATCAAATTAACATCATCTTGTTCAATACATTTTATATGAATAGGAATTCTTTGTGAAAACGGAATCTAACGATCAATTTCCCTATACTAAAACAACAAATTGTATGTGAGAAGGAATGAAACTTGATGGACAGTGTTAGAAAAAATTGGATGGTTTAGAGCATATGTTGCTCATGTTGTCTTCATGGCATCCAATGATCAAATACTAATATGGGTAGCAAACTTGCTCAAAATTACCCATGAAACAGCAACGTGGAGAGACAAATCTGTGTATACATAAATTTTAAAATTACAACCAGGTCACATATTTCAGTGAAAGAACTAATATGACAAATTCCTATGCTATTTGGTGGTGCATGTTCTTATTTTAACTTTCCTTCAGTGACATGAGCACAACAAATACTTTTGAGCCACACTGTTCTTTCTTTAGGAAAGAAGAAGCTAACTACAATGCTATATGCACTGAGACCTGGTCAATGTCACTTCATCAAGTTCCTTTTGGAGGATCTATTTAGAAAGACTCTGAGGAATTGTCTGAATTTCAATCATTATGGATTCTCTAGCATCATATCAGCAAACATGGATATGACCAAGGATAGAACATGGAAACAGAGAAATAAATCCAGAGGGCTTGGTGTACACAGGAAAACAATGTATGGGAAGAACCTGAGTTAGGAATAAAAGACCTCAGCATACTTAGTAGGTGCCTGAATTTCTCAAATCCCCACAATTATCTGAGCTTCAGTTTAATAATGACTAGAAGTCAAACAGAAATCATTGCTCATATACATTATTATTTTTTCTGTTGCTATAACAAAGTATTCAAGGCTGGGTAGGTTATTTTTACAAGACTTATTTAGGTCAGAGTATTGGAAGTTGAAAATCCAAGGTTAGGCAGTATCTTTGGCTGTAGACAAGAGGGAAGAGAAATGACCATGCAGAAGAACCACGTGTGTGGGATGGCCTTACCTTATGACAGTCTGCTTTATGACAGTCTGCTATCATAAGAAGTAGCTAGAGTTCCCTGAGAGCTACATTGATCCCTTCTAAGAACACCACCAGTGGTGACCTACTCACTTCTTACTAGGCCCCCACCTCTTGAAGATCCTATTACCTCTTCACCCTGGAAACCATGCTTCTAGCACATGCACCTTTGGGTGCCTAACCATAGCTCCTTATTATCAGACAAAAATATAGTGAGGTTGAAAGAGATCATGTATAAGGAACCTTTTTGACATATTAAACTATGTCAATAGAAGTAATCAATTTTCATAAATACCCACCATCACTTCTCTATTACTGTAGAAATGGGAAGCTTTACACCTTATGAAAACTCCATGACTTCCTATTGGAACCATGGTCCCCATGGCATTAGTGCACTGAAACAGAATGGTAGCAATGTTCTTTGGCCAGAGTTATCTAACCTCATCTTGTCACCAAGAGAACTTGGGCACAATGACCATGAAACCCGGTATCTTGCTGATTCAGACATACGTTTCTGATTGACTGAGTTAAGAAATCCTGAAAAGTTTTATGAGTAAGAGTGCATATCAATGGAAATAGTTGGTACCACTGTCACTACAAGTGACAACTGCAACTTTCAACAGATGCATACTTAGCTGGAAGAGACTCTAGAAACAAGTTAGGATTATTCTGATCCAAATAAAGAGCAGAAGTACACCACATTCTAACCTGTGCCATTTACAGAAAGCACTTACTTCCAGAGCAGCCAAAATTCTTCCAATTGCACTTCTAATTAAGAAACATGAATATTCTAATGTATGTTGCTAAATCAATTATTATGGTGAAGCTGAGCACGATGTTATACCAAAAGTATTCATGCCATCTGTCTGTCTATTTATCTCCAGTGCAATAACAAGTTATAGTTAGTAGCAAGTTTGTCTTACAACACTCATATTTAAACTTGCATTAAAGTCACAAAAGCTGCATACTTCTACTTAAGTTGAGGTGCCTAATGAAATCCTCAAGGTCCGATGCCTCCTGCCCTGGTCCTTGTTAAGTATGTCAATGCTGTTATTTTGCCATCATCACCTTTCCTTCCCTCATATATTCAGAACAACCAAAGTGTTTTGGAACAGAGACCAGAGGCATGAAATCGGAGACAGTTTTGACACTTGGCCAGTTATACGTACTGATCCTAATTCTAAAATAAACTTGCCACGAACTCACTCAAACTCAGATACATTCAACAACATTTGTGGGTTATCAGGGATCATTATATGTCATAGACGTTGTCTGAAGACCTAAATTAATGAGCTGCATTTATACATTTTAACATAATAAGTTATTTTATAAAAATAATGATAAAATGAGAAATCAAAAAACATACCAGCATCAGATCCTTGGTCTTGTCTTATAAACATAAGACCACAATTTAAAAAGAAAAACTTGACCTACATCTAATATACACATTTAAACATATCCCTACTTTGAAAGTTAGGAACTTGAGGATCTTTGTTAGTCATTTCTTGAAGGATTTGCATAGAAAAAATCAGAATTTTCAGCTATAAACATAATATATTTCTTGACATAGGACTTATGTAACTGGTGTGAATGAGTCTCTTAAGAACTATATAAGAAATATAGTTATACTTATGTAAAATAAAAGATAAAAACAGCCATTTGTAAGAAAAAAAATCTAAACTATATTTTAATTTTGTTCCAAAAGGCCAATCAATTTTATTAAGACTAAGATTTCATGGCAATACATTGTGCTTTTTCTCCTAAGGCATCAAAAATCAGATAATAAAAACAGAACTGTGGATAGGTAAGTGAGGTCAGAGATGGAGATGGACTTGTGGTTGTATTTACATAGTACCTGTGTACAGACTATGAGAAGTGGGGAGAAAATTTAGAGTCTTACTGTTAGGAACAAAACCATAGGCTACAAAACAGAATCACTTACCCTGAAAAACTCTTTAGTGGAGCCAGAGTCTAATGTTCCATAAGCAATCTCTGTTTGCTTAGAAAGGTCCTCAGCACTTTCGATGGGAGACACCATCCTCTCTACAGTCAGGAAGGCAGCTAAGTTAGCCGTGTAGGAGGAGATGATGATCAGGGTAAAGAACCACCACACACCTCCAACAATGCGCCCAGAGAGGGATCTAATAACAAGTATGAAATGGATTTGTAAAGCAAAGGGAATGACCTGATTAAAAAAACAAGTTAATAAATAACACAAGTATTGACTTACAGGGAACATTTGACTTTATACTTTTCAATATATTTGCTAGCTAATGAAACTATAAATCACTAAACATTTTGGGCAAGGAATACAGATTAACAAGAAATGACAATGACGTATCCAAGAAGCCAAAACTTCAGATTCCTGGGATTCACTTATTGTTACGTGCCCAACTAGTTTATGGTATAAAATCCCTTAATGAAGGAATTTCAAGAAATATAAGAATAACTCACCCAATACTCATAATACTTTATCTACTAGTGACATAATAAACATGAACAAGAAACTCTAAGAGCATGAGTAAAGCTCATAACAGTGTCTAAAAACAAATCAAATATTAAAAAAGAAAGAGGATATATCACAGATGTAATTTTAAACCCTAAAGAAACCCTTTCTATGATTCATTCAGTGAAGTTCCAAACCTTTTATGCTTTGCTTGTACAAAAATATGTAATTGATACAGTATAGGAGAGAAAATGACACCAAAAAGATATCGCACAAAACATAATTCTTAATGAATGAAATTGTGCACCTTCACAGTATGGAGCACTATGACCCTGTTCCTTTGTGTCTCCTTCTTAAGAAAAACAAAATCTCAAAGAAAATAAAGTTGATTTTTAAAAGTTTGTCAAGTTATAAATTCCCAGTGTGAAATATAATCAAATGGCAATATTTCTGTGACCATGTGTTCTGACATATAATGCTTTGCAAAAGCTCATAAATTCCCACTAATTTACTTAAAATTTGAAGTAGATAAAACCAGATATGTCCATACAAAAAAGATATCTAGATTTTTATGGAATCCTGAACATAATTAAGGAATCAAATATTAGCAAACCAACATAGTGACAATTTTCTTTGTTATCAGTAACTCTACTTAACTCCACCAATTAGACTTATTAGAGTTAAGAAAACATTTCTAAAAGTTTAAATCACAAATATTTGGCAACTTATTCCCTAAAGTTATTGATAATTTGTATTAAGTAATGTACCCCTTTCCACAACATATATTAGGGTCAAATTCTTGGGTAATATTGATAGAATGTATCATTCAGTTATTCAAATAAAGGAGGCAGGTAAATTAGCTTAAAAGGAAAGGCTTTTGTAAGATTAAAAACACATGTTGCTTAAAGAGAGCACAAAATAATGAGGAAAAACTGAAAAAGGATAATAAAGAGCCTCTATCACAAAGTCTCAATGAAATACAAAAAATTAAGTGAACATGGTAGGATGGAAAGAGCTAAATATTTCCCACTTATAGTCTGCAAAGGATATCCCTTATATACACATTGCCACCCATAAAAATATTATCTTTTTACCCCATAGCAGCAGGAGGTGTAATTACAGGACATGTGCCTTGCATGAAGGTGGGCGATTCACTACCTGGTTACTCCCACCCTTTATCAAAAAGTTGATCGTACGAAAATTGCTTTTGATTTTGTGTACTGCATGGTAACTTTTGATACATTCAAGAATCATTTTTATAAATCATTCTATTTTAGTTGTAAAAGACAAGTTAATTTCATTAGAGTTAATGAGATTAAATATGCCAATTGATTTAAAATGTACAAGATTACAAACTTTGCTGGACTTAAAATCATTCAAAAGCTAAAAATGCTTATATGTTTTATTACTTCTTTTGAATATTTTCTATATTTTTTGGTGATATTGGGGTTTAAATTCTGGACTTTGTGCTTAATAGGCAGGCTTCTACTGCTTGAGCCATACCACCAGTCTACTTTTAAATATTTTAAAAGCATCAATTAATGCTTGTGAAAAAGTTCTGGAGAAAGTTTATCCATATGAGCAAATGCAATTTCAATTTATGGCCATAGACAAAATGGCCATAATTAAATATAAAAGTCCTATAACTAAATATAAAAGTTTTTCTTCTCAACCTGTACACTAAAGAAGTAAATAAATGCATAGGTACTATTATTTCATTCTAATGCATATGAAATAATTGTTAAGATAATGTCCGTATTTAAACTTACTTAAGTCCCTTAAATTTAAGTGGAAAAAACAAAATAAGCAGGAGAACAAAAATAATCTTTATGGCATATTACTCTTATAATTTCTGTGATTCTAGCTTTCAGAAAATTGTATCTTACGGTGAAGATATTCTAAACCTAATTTCAGACAAACGACAAGCCAGTAAGTCAATGAATCATTCTCAATTACAATTTAAATGTGTTCTATTAATATTAATAATGTAGCTCCATATCATACATTGGCTGTAAAGGAATGATAAATACTTCTTAAAAATTTAAAGAGCATTCCTAGAGTGATCTGTGCATTTCAAGCCTTCTTTTTTAAGGCAATCGTCTGTTCTACTCTTCCGGTCAGGAATAGGCATTACTGCATTCTAAAATACGATACTTTGGTTCAGGTAAAATTCATTAAATATGTTTATGTAGAAGTGAATGATTAATGAATATAGAACATAGGAAAAAGATAAATATCTTTTCAATTTTTTAATAAAATAAAATTTGTTTATATATTCTGAGATAAAAATTCAACTAACAATAAGGAAAAATATGCTATCTAAAAAATCTGTGTATCTTACTAAGAAATAAAAGTTACTGCATGTGAAATTATAGTGAGTCATGACTCATGAAAAATACAGAAAAAATATCCCATTTTGGAAGCATGTTTGATGAACATGAGAAATCTTCTATATGTCATAGTGAATTCTGGGATATTATTATAAATTGTTAACTGTGACTTGTGCTCCAGCCACTACATATAAAAGGTTCCCCACTCTATGACAAGCATTGAGTACCAAAACTACTACCTGTAGTGCCATGGTGCATAAGGAGTGGAGCTAGCAGATCTGACGGTATAGCTATGGGAAAGCAGGCCAATACATCTGTATACTCCTGTGCACTTCTAATCCAAAAGACACAGCAGAATTTACATCAATCAGCATAACTGCCTTCCATCTGACTGATAATATGCCTCAGTGGCCTTCATACCAAAGATGAACCAATTTTCACTGTGTTATACAACACCATGCTCTCTGACATCTCAGCTTGTTTAGTTTTTTCCCCTGCATTATTAGAAACTTCTTTTCACCTCTGTAACTCAAATTTGATCTCAAAATACAGAGATATAACTATGAACCTTCTATATTTCATTATGGATAAAATATGTACATCTATACATATACTCCTCCACACTTGCCATGCAAATATCATTGCCATATTTCTAATTCAATGCAGTCCCAAAGAGAAGAACCAGGGAATGTGAGGCAACAAAGTTTTTTTTAAGATATCCATAATTTATAAAAATGTAATTTTAAAAAATCACCATCACTGTATAACTACCTAATACTGGAGAAGGAAGCCTTTGCTAATTTCTGCCTGTATGGTATATGTCTTTCATATCATTCAAGGGAATATACAAAATGTTCGTAAAAGTTACAAATTATTGAGATTCTCATATACTTTTTAAATTAATCACTTTTAATTCACAAAGTGCTTCAAAACTAACAATGTAATGAATTAATATTAGAAATGGCACCCTCTTCACTGGTCAATGATATCTTCTGAAGCGCCGCATATGGTTATCATTCTCATTCATGTATGTAATATAAACAAAAGCAATAGATACTTTGTGACAGATTTATATATAATTAGGCATTTTAGTGCTGAGATAAACATATACTAATGAGAATAGAGGAATATGAGTTTATTTTATGATGTGTGTGTATTGCCATTCAATATTGTACAGGCTTTTGTAATGAATCACTAGTCTTCTCTGTATGTCTAGATATTTGTAACACATGTCATCATCCTTTTAATTCGGTGATCTAAACTTGACAAAGTTTTAAGATGTCTGTCTCATACCAGTTCCATGAAATGATGTTAGGAAAATAAAAAAGATGGAATGTATGCCAATGAAGTTTTATCTAACAAATTGTTTTTTTATAATCAATAAATAATATTGCCCATTTTCCCATATACAGGTCTGTGGTTCACCACACAGATGACTGTAAAATGAGAATATGCAGCAAAAACACGGTACCCCTCCAAGAAGGCATGGAATGATAGGAACCTTATGCATTTTATAGCCTCTCCATGGTGTATATAATTTCACCAGGGAAATACATGATCAACATTCCAAGAACATTGCTCAAATATTTCACAGGCTTACACCGATAGTAAAGTTTGTCCTTTAAGAGTCTTAAATGGCTTGGACAAGTAGTCGGCAGCTGGTAACTTCTTTAGAGTGAATTCATAAACACCATGAATATCTACTTGAGACCTAAAATGCACAAAGTTGAAGCAGGTGAGTAACCAACCTTGGCGAAATATCGCATCCTTGCTGCATAAAGGCACCCAAGGAAAACCAGAGACTATTAAAAATCCCAAATTCATTAGTTGATTCACTACTTTGTGTTTCTCTTCCATCTTCAAACTCCTCAGTGTGCCACTCGTAGGGGCTAAATCTGCTGACCAGGAATAAAACTACACTGACCCCAATGTAGGCAAAAACAATGCACATCCAGATCTCATAGGCTAAAGGATCAAGAAATGAAAACACTCCTGGTTTGGACTTCTGTGGCTTCTTGATCATGATAGATATCCCAAGGCTCATGAAGGGCTTGGAGAAGTCAATCACCTCTTCTCTCACAAGCGTAATAGTTAATGGAGCAATTGCAATATCAGCTTTCTGTAAGGGAAACAAAGGAAGACAATAGCACCCAGAATCATAGCATAAAGGAATTGTGGCTACATCATGCAATGGAAATGGTAAAGAAGAGAAATCAGAGATGTGGCAATAATTATTGCTCTGGTAGAATCCTAGTGAAGAATAAACAAAAAAGCAACATGTTCCCCAAATAGCCTCCCTTTTTAAAAATGAATGGTTTGCCTATCTGACTTTACTAGGATAATTACACATCTATATAGCATCTATGCCTTTGCAACATTTGGATAATACACATGGCCCATAGTTTCAAGACAGATGAAATATATGTCTCAGTTAATCTTCAAGTTTACTTCTGGCTTCAGGCTCACCCTTTGAAATGTTGGCAAGTCAATAAGAGAGTAATGTGGAATGCCAACAATCTCAGATATAGGCTCTTTGAAGGGAGGGGTAGCCATTCTGTCAGTAACAGTTCAAATTGAATGACTTTATCTATAAGGAGAGCTATACTTACCCCATAAACAAGTTCTCCAACCATCCCATTCCAAATTTTCGTGTCTGCATCCCTGGCCCCATACTTGCCATCCCCAACAATGGTCAACTTGTACTTGAACCCACAATGTTTGGCGATTTCTGCAGCCAGGTCAACACAGTAGCCTTCATAGCGCTCATTGCCTTCAAGCATTTCATGATTCTTCTTCATCATAACATATGGGGATTCCTATATGGAAAGACAACACTTCGGTTGGTTAAAATAGCTAAATTAATTATACACTCATTGAATCAAACCTCCCAGTTAATTATTACCCATTAGACATAGATAACATAGAATAAATATATGAGGGACAACATTAGAAAAAGATGAAAAAAAGTAAATGCTTCTGAATCAAATGTTAAGATGGCTGGTACCTAGCTACATCAGACTAAATAAGATACTCAAAATCACAAGCAGTGATCACAGTTTATAGCTCCTCACAGTTTATAACTCCTGGGGCTTAGGAAGAATGCTGCTCAACATCTACTTTATTCAACATTGTATCTGCTACATCCTTACACTAGGTTAAGGATGCACAGTCCCCAAGAATGAGAATTCACTGTCAGCCCTGTGTCCCTTCTGTCCCAAGGGTAAGTTTCATGTGGAAATCTGTTCTCTGGTTGGTGATACACAAACTGAAAGAGTCGTTGCCATGGTGACCCTAATGGCTTCAGATCTCACTTGGTGTATGAGATATGAAATCCTAGCATGAGGTTTTCATCCTAGGATGAAAAGAATCCTAGGATGAGAGAATGGCCCCCCCGTAAAAGTATAGGGAAGTGGAAACGTGACAACATGATTCAGCACATTCTAGGTCCACTGGAACGTGGCAGCAAGAGTTTCTGGAAAAAGTGGAACTCGCACTTTTTAGAAGATTTCCAAGTGGCTACTGATGTTTATCCAAATCCCTTAGTATACTGTGTATATATCTCACATTATGACATTGAGTCCACAAATTTATTGTTTCACTGGTAACGTAAAACAGAACACAATTGTTTTTGTCACAAAGTCACATCCTATAATGAACTTCATTTTCTCCATTTTATTTCCCCAGGCTGGTCATGATGATCCACATTGTCCTTCCATCCACCAAAGCCTGGATGCTCTAGATCCAGTTCAAATTTGCCTCATTCATTCAACATCAACACTGTCACCTACTGTGTTCAAACGACTGATGAAAGGACAGAAAAATCATCCGTTTCTTTAAGGAGTCAATTCTTTTTTTTTTTAATGAAGAAAGAGAAGTGGACAAAGTTATTATGCCATTTACCAAATGGAAATACAGAGCTCATCCAAAGTGATGGGAATGGAAAGATGCAGAACTTCAGGAAATATGAAGAACACGCTAAGAGTGGAGAGATCTCCCATGCTCATGGATTGGTAGAATCAACATAGTAAAAATGTCTATACTCCCAAAAGTAATCTACATGTTTAATGCAATTCCCATCAAAAAATTCCAATGACATTCATTAAAGAGATTGAAAAATCTGCTGTGAAATTTATATGGAAACACAAGAGACTACGAATAGCCAAGGCAATACTCAGTCAAAAGAAAATGCTGGAGGTATCACGATACCCAACTTCAAACTATATTACAAAGTAATAACAATAAAAAACAGCATGGTACTGGCACAAAAACAGACATGAAGACCAGTGGAACAGAATAGAGGACCCAGATATGAAGCCACAAAAACTATAACCAACTTGTCTTTGACAAAGGCACTAAAATATACAATGGAGAAAAGACAGCCTCTTCAACAAAAACTGCTGGGAAAACTGGTTAGCAGTCTGCAAAAAACTGAAACTAGATCCATGTATATCACCCTATACAAATATTAACACAAAATTGATCAAGGATCTTAATATCAGACACCAAAATTCTAAAGTTGGTACAGGAAAGAGTAGGAACTACTCTGGAGTTAGTAGGTATAGGTAAGAACTTTCTCAACGAAACCCCAGCAGCACAGCAACTAAGAGATAGCATAGATAAATGGGACCTCATAAAACTAAAAAGCTTCTGTTCATCAAAAGAAATGGTCTCTACACTGAAGAGAACACCTAGAGAGTGGGACAAAATATTTGCCAGCTACACATCAGACAAAAGACTGATAACCAAAATATATAGGGAACTTAAAAAGCTAAATTCTCCCAAAACTAATGAACCAATAAAGAAATGGGCAAGTGAACTAAACAGAACTTTCTCAAAAGAAGAAATTCAAATGGCCAAAAAATACATGAAAAAATGCTCACCATCTCTAGCAATAAAGGAAATGCAAATGAAAACCACACTAAGATTCCACCTGACCCCTGTTAGAATAGCCATCATCAGCAACACCACCAACAACAGGTGTTGGCGAGGATGTGGGGAAAAAGGTACCCTCTTACACTGTTGGTGGGAATGTAAACTAGTACAACCACTCTGGAAAAAAATTTGGAGGCTACTTAAAAAGCTAAACATTGATCTACCATTTGATCCAGCAATACCACTCTTGGTGATATACCCAAAAGACTGTGACACAGGTTACTCCAGAGGCACCTGCACACCCATGTTTATTGTGGCACTATTCACAATAGCCAAGTTATGGAAACAGCCAAGATGCCCAACTACTGACAAATGGATTAAGAAAATGTGGTATCTATACACAATGGAATTTTATGCAGCCATGAAGAAGAACGAAATGTTATCATTCGCCAGTAAACGGATGGAATTGGAGAACATCATTCTGAGTGAGGTTAGCCTGGCCCAAAAGACCAAAAATCATATGTTCTCTCTCATATGTGGACATTAGATCAAGGGCAAACACAACAAGGGGATTGGACTTTGAGCACATGATAAAAGCGAGAGCACACAAGGGAGGAGTGAGGATAGGTAAGGCACCTAAAAAACTAGCTAGCATTTGTTGCCCTTAACGCAGAGAAACTAAAGCAGATACCTTAAAAGCAACTGAGGCCAATAGGAGAAGGGAACCAGCAATCAGAGAAAAGGTTAGATGAAAAAGAATTAACCTAGAAGGTAACACACACGCACAGGAAACCAATGTGAGTCAATGCCTTGTATAGCTATCCTTATCTCAACCAGCAAAAACCCTTGTTCCTTCCTATTATTGTTTATACTCTCTCTTCAACAAAATTAGAGATAAGGGCAAAATAGTTTCTGCTGGGCATTGAGGGGGGGGGGAGAGGAGGGGTGAGTGGTGGTAAGGGAGGGGGTGGGGGCAGGGGGGAGAAATGACCCAAGCCTTGTATGCACATATGAATAATAAAACAATAAAAAAAAGAAGAAGAAAGAGAAATGGACAAAGTTATTATGCCATGTAGCAAATGGAAATATGGAGATGATCCAAAGTGATGGGAATGGAAAGGTGCAGAACCTCAGGAAATATGAAGAACATGCTAAGAGTGTCCTCAGTTGTTCACCTATGTGAACGACATGGCACGAATTATCTGTCAAGCTGGAGTTCAGGAAAATTTTGAAAGCCTTAGCTAGAATGTGTTCAGGGGTGTTAACACATGGTAAGCATTTATTAAATGATTATAATACTGCAAAAGCAACTCTTCATTCATTACTGTCCTAAAATATAAATAGCAACTCTCCTTTGCAGAGATTTTTTCATATAAAATAATGTTCATCATAGGCAAATGTAGCTAATTACCAAAATTGTGGTGACAACAACAGTTTTATTCTCAAGTCCAGAAGTGTCATTTCCAGATGGGAGCTCAGTAAGGGTGACAACCATTTTGTCTACTTCACTCCAGTACCCAATCTGAAAAAGATAACAGCAGGTAGACATTTCTATTAGAAAAATATTTAGATATTTTCAAAACCATATCTGAGGCCAAAAGTATACCCACATTAACACTGGCTTCTTCTAAACAATGTATGTGTTATATTTTATATATATGGATCTAATTGGAATAGGAAAAAAGAAAAAAATCTCTTAAATTGGCTTGTTTCTTCATCTTCACTATTCATATTCTGTATGTGTAATTTGTTTAGGAGTGACCATACAGAAATATAAATGAATTTTAAACATTGATATTTTAACAGCAATAATTAAAAGAAAGATGCTGATCAGTTGCTTGAATATTTGTACAATGATATTTTGTGAACCTATTAAACCTTTAGCAATAGTTTTTTTCCTTCTCATTAAAGTCTTTCTATTATAGCCCAAAACTAAAGTGTAACAGTTCTATTTACAAGTAATTTATTAACATTACATTTCAACATACTTACACAAATAAATAGATTTGATTCTAAAAAAATCAAAATCATATCTGTTTACAGAAGTGACTTAAATTCCATGTGAACATTCCCTCCCAGGGAATTTGGAAATGGAAGCCCATAGGTGTGCTGACTCACCTCACAGAGACACCTGCCTTTAAACCTCTAAAGATTTACCTTCCGTGGCCCATTTGTTTTGAGCTCCATGATGTTAATTGTGTAGTTTATTCTTTTTCCATTTTGGTCAAACTTTATATTTCCTGAAAGACCTTCAACCTGAACCTAATGATGAAATGGAAAGAAGCAGAGTTACAAATTTACTGCAATCAAAGACACAAACTGTCCAATTACTGGGTTCGAGTGAAGAAAATTACATTGATAAGGTTTCTTTTCATTCTTCAACCTACCTTTATGCTCTGAGAAAATAATATGGCCTGTATGTTAAACATAAGGAATAAAACAAGGATGACTCATTTGGCAGGAAAAAGTTAATGGCCATCTGAGGTCACATGAACACTCATCCTGTGAAACTGACCTGCTTAAGAGCCCTTTCTATTTCTACACCTTGTCCCCAGGGCACCGCTGGGTTGGCCAGGCAGTCTCCTGCATTGCCCCTTCGGGAGATTTCAATTCTCTGCTTCCGTAGGTTGCGGAATGCTTCAGTCATCACTTGAACAGCATCATAGGTCAGGGCAGAGGTATACTGAAAAGGATCACATATTGCATAAGAATGCGAGAAAATTCAGAAGCTCACCACACATGGGCAATCCAGACTGCCCTTGTCCACCATACAATACAGGTGCCACACAAAAATATCCATGAAGTTAAACACAGCTTCTATATCTAGAAATCTATGAATCCAGTAGAAGGAGTATGAACTATGGAATGTGCTCTTAACTCCAAACAGTTTCTATTATCTCAGCATCTCATCTCCGTCAGGTGAGACCCTTACATACTATTCATGTCAATGTTTTTTTCTTTAGTTTCTCATTAAGTCATCGCATTGTGATTAGCCATGGTGATACAGAAATTCAAACTCACAAACATTTCTCTACTGTCTAAGGACAGATTCATTCATCGACATGGAAAGAACACAGATTAGTTCTTCTAAGTGAACCCTCCTGGCACTCAGGGATAGCTGCAGTGGTCTTAAGAGTGTTTATGGAAGCTCCCCAGGGTGATTCTGGTGATCCAGAAAAAGAGCCACCGAGGTTCAAGATACCAATTCCTTTATGCTTTAACAGTCAATGATAACATCAGTCCCAAATTTAGGGTATTGAAGGTTCTGTGTGTCAGGAGGATATTGCAGAAGGTGGAGACAAGCAGCAAAATGATGGAGTACCAGTTATTGCCAATGATTGAACAGGTATGACGCCATGCACAAGAGTCACTGCCATCTGTCAATGTATAGTGCTACTGTTGTTAGTAATCAATTACCATTTGACTTTAAAGATTTGCTGAATGCTGAGAAAATTTCTCTCATTCTTTTTTGATCTGAAGGTACTAAAAAGTATGGGGAAACTTGAGAAAACATCATGTCCTAACTGATCTAAAAACAGCCAAGATGCCCTACTACTGACGAATGTGTTAAGAAAATGTTATTTATACACAATGGAATTTTACTCAGCCATGAAGAAGAATGAAATCTTGTCATTCCCAAGTAAATGGATGGAACTGGAGAACATCATCCTGAGCGAGGTTAGCCAGGCTCAGAAGACCAAAAATCATAGGTTCTCCCTCATATGCGGACTTTAGATCTAGGGCAAATACAGCAATGTGGTTGGACTTGGGTCACATGATAAGGGGAGAGCACACATTGGAGGTATGGGGATAGGCAGGAAACCCAAAACTTGATAGTATTTGATGTCCTCACTGCAGAGGAGCTAACACAGAAACCTTAAAGCAACAGAGGTCAATATGAGAAGGGGATCAAGAACCAGTGTAAAGATCAGTTAGAGATGAATCAACTTGGGATGTAACATTTGTACATGGAAGCAATGCTAGGAATCTCTCTGTATAGCTATCCTTATCTCAACTAGCAAAAACGCTTTGTCTTCCTTATTATTGTTTATACTCTGTCTTCAACAAAATTAGAGATAAGGACAGAACAGATTCTGCCTAGACACGAGGGAGGGTGGGGGGGAGAAGGAGGGGACTGGGTGGGGGGGAGGAGAAAGGCCCAAACAATGTATGTGCATATGAGTAAGTGAATAGAAAAAAAATCTTGACCACGACTCCAAAATGGCACTCAGTGCTCTTGATCCTCCTCCATGCCTTGGTAACTTCATTCTTCCACTCTCAAAAAAGATTATTTCATGTCATTTTTATCTTCTCTAAATACTTGTACCTTTAATTCTCTTTCTCCAAACTCCTGCCACTTATCGTGACTTACACATCATGGAGAGTAAGAAACTACCAAATTGAATTCCCTTATTTTTCAACCATGAAACTTCCAAACTCCCCACACAGTTTCCCTGTTGAGCTAACAGTGCATAATGTGGTCATATTGCACATTACAAAGGCCTCTCCTTCAGTTTTTTGATCTCTAATATCTCCTAGTGCAAATAAAGATAAAATAGGAGAGAGAGAGAGGGAGAGGGAGAGGGAGAGAGAGAGAGAGAGAGAGAGAGAGAGAGAGAGAGAGAGATTCTTATCTATATGTCCATACATCCTTCCAAATTCAACCCGATTTTTCCTTTGGTTCATGAATGCCATCCACACTCTCAAACATTACTTTCTTCCCTTTTCCCTTTCTGCCCAGCCCTCTCTCTATCATTCTCCTCACATGGCATTGTCTCTTCCAGTCTCTGAGCATCCTGTGTGCATATTCTTTTTTTTTGTCTTCTTCATCTCTCTTCCTTACTAGAATAATTACTTCATGGAAGGATAGACCTTGTCTGCTACCTCTGGATTCTTAGAGACTAGGGTAAGGTTGTGAAGACAGAAAAGACATAATAGGAAGGAAGGAATGGAGGAAGGGCGGGAAAGAGTAGGGAAGAAGGAAGAAAGCAAGAAAGGGAAGAGAGGGAGAGAGGAAAGTAGAGTGGGAGGGAAAAGAAGAAAGGAAGATAATCAGAGATCTTGATGTACAACCTCTCCTTATGAGACTCGCATTCTCTCCCAGTCCAGTGAAAAGATATGTAAGAAAATCACTGTAATGCATTACCAGATCATAAGTCAGTTCCATGGTGGGCAGATGTTTATCTTCTTTCATTTAACATGAAAATTTTATGTTCAAGCAAATAAGAAAATAGTTTGTGGGATGTGACTTATCTCCTCCATGCAGTTTGTAATTCTATAACATCTATATTTTATGGCAAAAGGGTAGAGTGAGGCTATTATTTGTTTAATCTTTGCCTGGACTAGTTTGGTTGAATCACTTTCATTTTCTCATATAACTCGATAATTTAATGGGAAAGTTAAGACAAGGAGAAAGACAAAAGGAGTGTAGGCTATGAATGCTATGACTGAGTACCGTAACTCTAGTAAGGCATTTATATTGACCTGAAGATATTCTTTGTTACTCTTTTTTTCTCTTTTCTCTCTTCTCTTCTCTTTTCTTCATTTTCTTTCTTCTTTGCTGGGGACAGGGCCAAGGTCTTCACACATCTAAACAGACATTCTACTCCCCAACTATATATAGCCCCAGCACATCTATATATTTTCTTTTCTTTTTTGTGTGGCACTGGGGTTTGAACTCAGGGCTTACATCCCGAGCCACTCCACCAGCCCTTTTTTGTGACGGGTTTCTTCCAGATAAGGTCTTGTGAGCTATTTGTCTGGGCTGGCTTTAAGTAACAATCCTGATCTCTGCCTCCTGAGTAGCTAGGATTTCAGGTGAGCCACTAGTACCTGGCTTGTTTTCTTTTCCCCTTTTTATGAGACAAAGTTTCACATTGTAAACCAGATTGGCCTTCAACTCTGGATTCTCCTGTCTCAGCCTGGCAAGCATTATGATTATAGGAGTGTACCACCATACCTGGCAGTAAATTATTTTTTCTAAAATTTCTTCTCAAATGTTACCAGTTAAAATTTCTTCTCCCATCTTCACTGCTACTCTAGGCCTATATGTGAGTTTTCATACTCCATTTTTTTGTTCTGTAAGAAGATGGGGACATCTCCTGAATGGGTACAGTTGACTCTCTTACAGATATCTAAATTAAGCAGAGCAAAATAAGACCAATTCCTTTTTTTTTTCAATATCTGCAATGTTTACCTTTAAACTGTACATGCAAGAAATTAGGCAAAAAATAGCCTATTCCATATCCATTTAGGCATACTTTTATTACATGATCTAGCCTGCAATTTCTGAAAACTTTCATAAGAAAATATTCTGGAATCCAGAGAATTTTCATACAAAGATACTAATTTCAGTATTATTTGTAGCATGCAAGAATTAGGAACAACCTAAATTTCTGATGATAAGTGTGAAAACCACACTTTCTGCAATAGGGAATTATTATGATGCCATTAATAAACGGTATTAACAAAATTTCTGTAACAACACAAATGATGTTTATAGTAAAACACATGAAAAACATTAGTATTAAACCTAAATTTTAAAACTGTATTCAACAGGAAAATTAATAAGAAATGGTTATACAGTTTCAAAAGGGGGGGGAATGTAATGAGAAGGACCACATATGACTGTGCATACAGATGACTAGGTCTCTCTCCAAATATTTTAAAACATCCATGTATCTCCTAAAACTGGTTTATATCATGTCTACTTTAGGAAAGAATTCTTTCTTGAAGCAAATAAGAAAAGGCACATCAGGGTATACCTGCATCACTGTTTGTCTGTTTCTATTATCCTGGGGGGGGGGTGATGAATTTGCTTTCTTTTGCTCAATCACTTCATTGCCAATTTAACTCAAACATTACATTAGGCCTCAGAATAGGTAATGGAATCTAAATTGAACTAATTGGATGTTATGAAAATATTGCAATTTGTATTAAAAATTATGATAATAGCTAAAACTCCCAAATTTCATTGAGTCAGCTCACTCACATTACCAGAAGAAATCCATCAAGCCATGTACTAAATGTTTTAGAGGTCTCCAAATGTTAGTGAACTACATTAAAAATAAGATGAGGATGAATGAACTAAAAGCATTTGGACCCAGGCAGCACGGTCTGATTAGGATTCAGAACATGTGCTCACTAGGAAGAAAAGTCCTTTCAACCTTTCCCAAATGGTCAAATAGAATCAAATCTTAAGCTTATTATCATTTTAAATTAAAAGTCACTGTCACAGAAACACAATTCCGGCTGAGCAAAAATCAGCTGCTTCTGTGTCCAGAGCTCCTTTTGGTTCATGCTCAGCGCGCGTGGCTCATTTATTTCCCTAAACAAGTAAGCTCATATTTTTGATTGGCTAGTTAAATATTTCTGGTTTATTTCACTATTCACTAAAGCAGATGTAAATTAATTTGAAGGGAACATCATGGCGATATAACTATCTCCTTCTTTGAAAACAAACGCTGCATTTCTGCCCTGATGTTTATTTTCTGTGAATTCCCTCCGTTGAGCTGGAAATTTATATTTCAGTAGGGGGCAACTTGGCTTCGCAGTATTTCACGACCACATCATTGCCACACTTTCAAACAAGATCGAGGAAATGATTTCTACCGTCCATTCTCTAAATCTGTTTTATATTCCATTTTAAATCCATATTTGTCAAGACTTATTTTTCAAAGATGG